TATTTGGACTAGAAACAAGACAAAAATCTAGTGTTGAGCTCAGTTATCTGGTTATTCAAGCACGTTTGGAAACGTGAGCATAATTTACGGATGTCAATTTCTTTAGTATTTAATAGAGAAGAATCATTTTGAATGTAAAAAAAGAAGAATATTAATTTGAAAATAACATTTATACATGACAGTATTTTATATGGTCTCATTATGACAACGGAAACATGCATGGGAATATTTTCATTCAATATTTTCATCTGGTTTTCTCTGAATTTGGGCAGTCAGGTTATTGCAATAGTATCTGGATGCAGCCTTGATGATGCAAGCTGAGATTATTGTCAGATTAATGACAATTATGTCCTAATGTCAGACACAAAGCACTCAATGGAGCCGGTGAAGTCACTGTGGGGTTGGTGTGGGCATGAAAAAGCATTGCATGCAGCTCATGCACACCAGGTCTGCATCCAGACGCCTCTCGGTTATTGTCTTAAACTGAGGTTGTGTCTCAATCAGCTCCCTTGTTCACTAGTCAGTGCACTGCTTAGGGTGTAAGCCGTGCTGTCTCAATTATAAAAATTCTTCCAATGCACTGGAATGTTCATGCCCTGAAAAGTCCACAGTGCACCGTGAAAATCAGGACACAATGATTTGCACTAAATATTCACCCTTAATGGAAGTTTTGAAGCACAAAATATGAATCATGTGACGCAAATTATCAAACGTAATGACAAACTATTTTTATTTTTAAAAATCCCTTATTAATTTTTGAACAGAGCTAGACAGCTCAGGGAAAATCTAGCAGACATTTATAATTGTTTAATGGTTGAAATGTTGCAGGTTTATGAAACAATCACATTATTTATCAATGATTTACTTCATAAATGTGTCTCAATGTGAAGTGAACCAAGCTCATCAGCACCCTTACTAGTGCACGAATTACTGTGCACGACCTCGGGAGCTGGTTGTGTCCCAAATGACGCTCTACACAGTAAACAAATATCTGTAAATGAGCAGTTTTCTATATTTTGTCGTTCATGTTTTTATTTTTCCCCGCTCATTTCTGCTTCTGAATTGCATTATGGGATCTTTAACCTTGAAAAGTGAGGAAAAAATGACTTTCATGAAGATTTTAATAGTCGAAAATAACTTATTGTCTATGTTGTTGTGCAGTATATTACACTACAAAAGCCGTCTTTACATTTACTTCTCTAGATATCATTCAGTCACTCGTTTTCTTTTCGGCTTTGTCCCTTTAGTAATCAGGGGTTGCCACAGCGGAATGAACCGCCAACTATTCCAGTATATGTTTTACACATCGATGTAAAACATCGATAAATAAACATCGATAAATAAACTGGCTTATTTATTAAAAACAGTCTGAGTTATTTTTGGTTTGTCGAATCTGTCTGTTTGCGTCATGTTCAGGTGAAGAAGTGCACTAATATACGTTTTATTAAAGAGCACACTTTCATAATGCCCTAATTATGTACTGTTTTACTCATTCATTTATTTTATTTTCGGCTTAGTTACGTTATTAATCTGGAGTCGCCTCAGCGGAATGAACCACCAACTTATCCAGCATGTGTTTTCAACCCAGGCTCATTCTGAAAACGTAGTCCCGTAGACGTTTCTTGAGACCGCCGAATGCGTCCTGGGAGGTAAGTATTTTTGCAGTTTTTGTTTTCCCGAATCCGCAAGAGGCTGCTGTGTGCGAATATTTGTATTTATTTATTTTTTTGTTTTGTTTTGCATCTCAAATGTCTCTAGCGAGTGCCGTTTGCGCCAGCGCTGTTCTTGCGTGAACCCACCAGAGGTCGCTGTTGACCGACTGAATGATTGACAGAGCGACCGGCCAATTGACCGACCCACCCTCCTCTTTCCCTTAACCCAACCAATTTTACAGATTGATCCGCCCGCCCACTTACTTCCTTAAACCCAACCAACGGTTCACAAAAGCTGTCCAGAAAGAGAAAAGCCCTCGTCTGATTTTTACCACGTTTTCAGATTTTACCACATTCTCACCCTGTTGTTTACTCGTTCCTTTTTTTTTTTATTCTGTTTTTGTCTTACCTGATTTGTGGAACTGCTCCTCTCTGGACTTGAACTCTGGTCATTGTCGTGGTCAACTCCTCTCTGCATCTCCAGTCCGCCAACGTACACGACAAGCTAGCTGGACACACTGGTTGTGGCTGGAAACCCCTCCACACGGAGGTAAGCACTAAGCAGACAGCCGGTAAGCGGCTAAAAGGAACTGCATCATACCACCAGTTGCAACCCATCTATGGAAAACATCCATACACACTCATTCACACTCATACACCACAGACAGTTTAGCCTACCCAGTTCCCCTATAGCGCATGTGTTTGGACTGTGGGGGAAACCGGAGCACCCGGAGGAAACCCACGCCAACACGGGGAGAACATGCAAACTCCACACAGAAACACCAACTGACCAGCCGGGACTCAAACCAGCGACCTTCTTGCTGTGAGGCGACAGCACTACCTACTGCGCCACCGCGTCACCCTTTACTATTTTATTTCTGTATTTTTATTCCTTCATTATAGAGTTTCTGGAGCTCTTTATTTGTGATGATATTTGTAGAAACAAGACAAAAACTTACAAGTGTGTGTTATCAGTGCACTGTTGATCATATGTGGAGTTCTTTAAATATTAAAACTAGAAACAAAAACTGCATTTAAAGCAGGCTATCAGCGCAGCGCTGGTCATATGTAGAGTCCTGCGCTGGGATACAGCATGTAGGGGCTGATGTTATGGGGTCCGGGGCCCTCCAGCATGTGTTTTCGGTAGTATCTGCGCAGAGCGGGGCTGCCGGGGTGCTGCTGCCGCACGTGCAGGAAGTACTGGTCGGGTCGGCTGGAGGTGAAGCCGCAGTCCTCACACACGAAGATCTTGGAGCGGCGCTGGCGGTACGCGTACTGCTGCTGCACACCGTGGATCTTACGCAGGTGAGACTCCAGAGAGCAGCGCTGTGTGAACGCCTTCTCACACAGATCACACCTGTACGGCCGGATACCTGCACACACACACACACACACACACACACACACACACATAAACATATTATTTTGCTTGTTTTAGGGAAAAAAAAGTTGTGCAGGAGCAGTCCAGGACAGTGATCATGTAAACTGCTGAACAATGATGTGATGGTGATCTGCTCATCAGGAAAGCTCTAGTCCTTTAGGAGCAGAGATGGGTCGAGGATCTCCAGTTTGGACACAAGTAGGAGACAAAATGAGTGAAGTGTGTGAACACAATGCTCCTCAGAGACAGAGAGGAAGACATGTGGGTATTTCACCTTCAACAGTGCAGAACAGCATTAAAGACTGAAGGAGTCTGGAGGAGTTTCAGTGCGTAAAGGACAAGAGCGCAAGCCTAAGCTGAACAACCGTGACCTCCGACCCCTCAGGGGGCGCTGCATCAAGAGTCCTCATTCATCTATAAGCAGATCAGCACATGGGCTCAGGATTACCTTTGTCAAGCAGCACAATACAGAGTCACATCCACAAACACCAGTCAAAACTGCACTGTGCCAAAAGGAAGCCCTATGTTAACAGTGTCCAGAAGCGCAGACTGGCATCTGGGATGGAGCATCACACAGTGGAGATGTGTCCGGTGCTCAGATGAAGCAGTGTTTCAGGTGTTTCTGGGAGAATTTGTAATTCGGAGTTTATACCTCTCAGTTCTGACTTTTTGTTTCTTGTAACTCTAAGTTTTCATCTTGCAGTTCTATTTGGGAATTCTTTGCTTACTTTGCTGAAATGTACATCAGTTCAGCTTGCTCCTGCCCTGCATGTACTTGCAAAGTGTCTTATAGTCAGTTAAATGTCTGGTGAAGGAGCAGAATCAGCAGATATGTAGCAGACAGTCGACTAATACTCAAATGGAGCATCAAAATAAAGTGTTACCCATTTGTTTTCCCTGCTGAAAAATCCAGTTTAAACTAGCCTAGGCTGGTTGGCTGGTGTTAGCTGGTTTACCAGCCTGATTTTAGAGGGTTTTTGGCCACTTCCAGACTGGTCTTAGCTGGTCAGGCTGGGAGATGACCAGCTAAAACCAGCTTGACCAGCCTAGTCAGGATAGGAGCCCAGCCAAAACCAGCTATGTCCAGCTTAAACCAGGATGGTCAAGCTGGTTTTAGATGGTCTTAGCTGGTCATTTTCCACCCTGACCACCTAAGACCAGGCTGGAAATGGCTGGAAACCAGCCTGGAAGTGGCCAAAACCCCTCTAAAACCAGCCAACCATCCTAGGCTGGTTTAAGCTGGATTTTTCAGCAGGGTTATTTTCAGAAATCTTAGTTGACATCTTGCAATTCAGGTATTTTCCTTAAGTTTAAGTTTTGCAGTCTGACTTTTGATTTCTTTCAGAATTCTCAGGTCACATTTTGCGTGTGTGTGTGTGTGTGTGTGTGTGTGTGTGTGTGTGTGTGTGTGTGTGTGTGTGTGTGTGTGTGTGTGTGTGTGTGTGTGTGTGTGTATTTGTGTTTGTGTGTGTGTGTGTGTGTGTGTGTGTGTGTGTGTGTGTATTTGTGTTTGTGTGTGTGTGTGTGTGTGTGTGTGTGTGTGTGTGTCTGTGTGTGTGTGTATTTGTGTTTGTGTGTGTCTGTGTGTGTGTGTGTGTGTGTGTGTGTGTGTATTTGTGTTTGTGTGTGAGTGTGTGTCTGTGTGTGTGTGTGTGTATTTGTGTTTGTGTGTGTGTGTGTACTGTGTG